ATATCAAAGAAGGTGAATTAAAAGCGAAAAACGTTGAAGCCGAGGAGAAATTGAAGATTATGCTTATCGATCAACAGAAAGCCGAGACCAAAAAAGAAGAAGCCCGCAAACTTGATGAAGTGCTTGCGCAACAAAAAGTCGCGATCGAAGAAAGGCGAACGGTAGTAATGGATGATTTGGCAAATGCAGAGCCGGCCGTTGAAGAAGCAAAGAAAGCCGTCAGTGGTATTAAGAAGCAACATCTTACCGAAGTGCGTCATATGAATAACCCACCAGCAGCTGTCAAGCTTGCAATCATGTCTGTATGTACTTTACTCAACTTCCCAGTAAGCACTTGGAAGGACTGCCAGAGTGTCGTTCGCAAAGACGATTTTATCGCCAACATTGTCAACTACGATACTGACAAGAATATGACCAAATCGATAAGAGAAAGAATGAAGGCCGAATACGTTAACCAGAAAGAATATAATTACGATACCGTCAACAAAGCAAGCAAAGCTTGCGGTCCATTAGTTAAATGGGTAACAGCTCAAGTAGGATACTCTGAAATCTTGGATAGAGTTGGTCCACTGCGGAATGAAGTTATGGGCCTACAAACACGTCAGGAGACTACCGAAGCACATGCTGAGGCAAACCGTAAAATGATTGCCGATTTGGAAAAAGAAGATTGACCAATATAAGAAAGACTATGCTGATTTAATCAGAGAAACAGAAGGAATTAAAGCCGAAATGGAGCAAGTAAAGAGTAAAGTCACGCGCAGCGAAAAGTTGCTTGATAGTTTAGGATCCGAGAAAATAAGATGGGAATCTGGGAGTCAAGCGTTCGAGACACAAATGGGAACAATCGTTGGTGACGTTATATTATCAGCTGCTTTTCTTGCTTATGGTGGTTACTTCGATCAACAATATCGTGAAGTTCTTCTGAACAAATGGATAAACCACTTGATGGCTGCTGGTGTCTCATTCAAAGGTGATTTGTCGTTAACAGAGTACTTGTCTTCCGCGGACGACCGGTTGTCATGGCAAGCCAACTCCCTACCAGCAGATGATCTTTGTACAGAAAATGCTATCATGTTGAAACGTTTCAATAGATATCCGCTTATTATCGATCCTTCCGGTCAAGCGACTGCCTTCCTAATGAACGAATACAAGCACAGGAAGATGGCAGTTACCAGTTTCTTGGACGATTCATTCATCAAGAATTTAGAATCTGCGCTACGTTTCGGAAATCCATTGCTGATCCAGGATGTTGAGCATCTGGATCCTATTCTTAATGCAGTCTTGAACAAAGAATTGCGTCGCACTGGAGGTCGTGTTCTGATTAGATTGGGAGGACAAGATATCGACTTTTCTCCATCATTCACTCTATTTTTATCAACACGCGATCCTTCCGTTAACTTCCCTCCGGATGTATGCAGTCGTGTGACATTTGTTAACTTTACTGTCACCCGTAGCAGTTTGCAGAGTCAATGCCTCAACCAAGTTCTTAAAGTTGAACGACCTGACACGGACAAGAAGAGAACGGATCTAATTAAACTGCAAGGGGAATTCAAATTGAAATTAAGACATCTGGAGAAATCGCTTTTACAAGCTTTAAATGAATCTAAAGGCAACATTTTGGATGACGCTAAAGTTCTTGATACATTAGAGACACTAAAGAAAGAAGCAGCAGAGATTACCCGTAAGATTGAGGAAACAGAGACTATAGTTCAGGAAGTTGAGCAGGTCACAACAGAATACACACCTCTTGCTTCGGCCTGTAGTTCCGTATTTTTCGTTATGGAACAAATGAATCTTCTCAACCATTTCTATCAATTTTCACTTGAATACTTCTATGAAATCTTCCAATCTATTCTTCACAATAATCCAAATCTCCAGGACGTCACTGACAATAACAAGCGTTTGAGCATTCTCTCTCGTGATTTGTTCAATGTCACTTTCCAAAGAGTTTCACGCGCTTTACTTCACGATGACCATATCACCTTTGCTCTCTTATTGTCTCAAATCAAACTGCGCGGTACACCTGACCAAGTTGATGAAATGGAATATGATTACTTGCTGAGTGGTGGAGACGTTGTCCCTGGTGTTAAAGTTAGTGCTGCAGATCTTGGAATATCTGAAGATATCTTTGACTCGGAACATGCAGCGCGTATAAAAGAATATTCCACACTGCCGTGCTTTAGAACTCTTGCTGATGAGCTTTCTGACAATGAAGAGAAATGGGAGGAGTTCATGAACCATGATGCTGCCGAGAAGTCAATCCCAATATTCTGGGAATCAAATGTACCCGGTATGTATAGGAAGAAACAAACGCTTATCGCAATATTGTATAGCAACTTGTGTTTGCCTAACGTCACGCATTTATTATTTTATTAGAATCGGTTAATCAGCTGCGACGAATGCTTCTTGTCAAATGCCTAAGACCCGACAGACTCATACCTGCCGCTAAATCATTCGTTAGCGAAGTCTTTGACTCAGTCTTTCTTGGTCAAACAGAATTGGATTTCAAGGCTATGGTACTGGAAGAAGTTCAACCGACAACGCCTATATCACTTTGTTCTGTGCCTGGTTACGATGCCAGTTATCGCGTAGATAATCTTGTTGCCGAAGTAAACGTTCGTTGCACATCAGTTGCCATGGGCTCTCAAGAAGGCTTTACGTTAGCTGATCAAGCGATCAGCTCCGCCATTAAGACAGGTCAATGGGTGTTGTTGAAGAACGTACATCTCGCTCCCTCATGGCTCGGTCAACTAGAGAAGAAACTTCATAGTATGAAAGCAAACAGAAACTTCCGCATATTTCTCACGATGGAAACAAATCCTAAAGTGCCCGTTAATCTCCTTCGCTTATCACGCGTTCTAATGTTCGAACCACCACCGGGAATCAAAGCAAATCTTCAAGATTCACTCAAAGGCATTACACCGGCACGTGTTCGCAAAGGTCCAACCGAACTTGCCCGTTTGTACTTCTTGCTCGCTTGGTTACATGCAATTGTACAAGAGCGTCTTCGATATGTTCCACTTGGCTGGACGAAGGTGTACGAGTTTAACGATTCCGATCAGGACTTTTCCATTAACACAATCGATGCCTGGCTGGATAGTATTGCACAAGGCCGATCGAATATCTCCCCCGATAAGATTCCGTGGGATGCTTTGCGTACTTTGATTACTACGGCTGGTTATGGTGGTCGTATCGATAACGAGTTTGATAAGCGTCTCTTGGAATCTTTTGTAAACACGCTCTTCACTCCAGCCGCTTACGATCTTCACTATCCTCTTGTCGATGCTGACGATGGCAATCTTCTAAAAATACCAGAGGGCACAAAGATTGAGCAATTTATAATGTGGGTTAACAAATTACCTGAGAGAGAGCCTCCGGCATGGTTGGGTCTGCCAAGCAATGCAGAAAGAGTCTTAGCAACTTCACAGGGTTATGCTATGTTGGTCAAAGTTCGTAAAATGAAGAGCATAAGTGATGACGATGAAGTAGCATATTCGCAAGAATCCAATACAAAGAGTTCAGGATCGTCTAGCCAACCAGCATGGATGCGACAGCTGTCTGCTTCCGTGAACAACTGGTTGAGTATGTTGCCAGAAAAACTCAGTTCTATGCAGAAGACTGCTGATAGTATCAAGAACCCGCTGTTCAGATTCTTTGATCGTGAAAACTCCATTGGCCGTAGTCTTCTCTCGAAGGTCAGACAAGATTTGAATGACATTGTGAAAGTTTGCGATGGTGAATTAAAACAGACGAATCATTTGCGTATGCTGTTGGGTTGTTTAACTAAGGGTAAGTAGGAACAACGTTTGCTGTATCATCTTGTCCCTTTTGCTTGCTAATAAGCATACCACTTTGTGAACTGTTAGGTATAATCCCTGATCATTGGTGCAAGTACAAGATACCAAAGACTATTTCTCTTAATCATTGGATTGCCGATCTCAAGAGTCGTCTCCAACAACTTGAATCCATCACCCGTGAGACTGACTTCCAATATTTAGATGTATGGCTCGGCGGTTTGTTTATGCCCGAAGCCTTCATCACAGCTACTCGCCAGGCAGTGGCCCAGAAACACCAATGGTCACTTGAAGAATTACGTCTAGAAGTTGACATAAACAAGCACGGAGATGCTGACGCATTTGCTGTATCTGGTAAGCGTAACAGTTTTGTAACTCTCGCTGTTTGAACTACTATTGATCCAACTTTTTACTTCTGCTCAGGTCTTAAACTTGAGGGCGCTAAATGGGATAATGCACTTCAATTGACATCAACTCCGTTAACAAAACTCGAACTTACTCAAATCCGCTGGGTTCTTAAGACTGATGTTGCCGCGCTTAAAGAAGACAGTGTATCGCTTCCTGTATATCTTAATAGCGATCGAAGCGATCTGCTTTTTGTTGTGAATGTTGACGCCAAAGCATCTGACAAGAATAAGATCGCACAACGTGCTGTTGCTATAGTCGTGTGGTGAAGTTAGATCTTTACATCGATTTTTAAGTATGTTTATTTATTTACTTAGTATAAATTAGTATCTATCAATTACATTAACTTATATATTACTTAAATCGAAATGGCTTAATAAAATAAAGAATAAGTGACCCATTACGATTCGATCACATGCTTGGCATTTACTTACGTATACTTTTATAGCTTCTTACGCATACTTTTATAGCTTCTTACGCAAGCTTTGCTTGGCTGAAAAGTCAGCCCTAGTTCTCAAAAGAATTTCTATTGCTAATAGACTATTGCAACCTAAAGACTGGAGACACGTTTCATTAATATCAAGCATTCTTGAAATGGGCGGTGGTTCACCAGGAACACTGTCTCCTGCTGAGGAACTCGTCTTGCAAATGTCAAGCCTTACTGTACGTTCTGTCGTGTACGACCTTGTTTCATGACCATGTTTTTTACACCAATGTCAATTTATTTAGGCTGACGAGAGTGGGGAGTCTTCTTCACAGCAGACAGCCGGTGAAGAACCCGCGCAAGTTCGTCTTCTATATTCGAAAAGCAAAGTCTATGTTCACCCTAAAAGTGACAACGAAGATAACATTCCAGGGTTTCTTTGCATTGTGGAGAGGGTAAATTCTGAATGCTCGTTATTTTCTTGCCTACTTAAACCCGAGAGAACGAGAGAACAAGAGTAAACTAGTACCCCCCACAACAGTAAATATTTTGATCTGAAAACTATTCAAACCAGATTTGTTCACATTGCTTTTTTCAAACATCCTTTAGTCACCAAATAGCTTTCTCCTCGCTTGGACACCAGAATCGTTACTATCAGCGGATGAATTGGAATCGTACGTGCAGGTCGAGGGCGGATCGGACAGAGAACTAGAGGACGATGAGAGTTCATGGATAGAGGCAGGAGGTGAAGAAGATCACGGGCTTGGATGTACGATCCTTATATTCGTAGATTTATGAGCTTTTAAGATAGTTTTTTGGGGAATGGTACTGATGCTTGAATTCATATTTAACAGCCACAATACTCATCGCGCCTCCACCGACGGCAATAACAGCTTCCGTACCAACAGCAGAGACACAATATGCTATATCGATACCGGTCAATTCAATCTATTCTATTATTGTCAACCCGCCAAAATTTCAGCAATGGTATGGATCAGTGGTGATAAATCTTGTAGGTGGAATAACTTTACCTGCACTATACTTCCACGATGACGAAAGTCGGAGCACGAGGCTTCAGAGACAGAACAATAATCAGAAAAATGGTGAAATCGAAGACGATGATGAGGAAGATAGTGCGGTGGCTCATTGGGGTGGCGATGAATTAATCAAGTGGCTTGGGAAAGTAGCTGTTGTCGTGAGGTAAGGTGTTTCTATTATGCATACAGTATACATGATATTCATGATGAAGTATAACCGTGTTATCTAATCTATCTTATGTATGGCCTAAGAATAGCTCTGTGGTTGAATCCAATTTACTCCTTGTTAATCCAACGTCTGAAGATCTTGTAAATCACAGCCCTCCGGCAACCGAAGTGAAGCCTTCGGCAAGAATGACGCAGGGGACATCTAGACAAAGACCATTGTCTGTGCAAATGGATCCTTTGGTATCTGTAAGTTTTTTGGGAATATTGTTATTTGAGTTTACCCGAAATATTTATATATTTTTACACGAATTTGTTTTCTCACCCGGTTAGGCCGTCAAAGAGATTCGATGGAACGTTATGGAGAGATTTTCAAAAGTTGCTAGATTCTCACGCGATGCAGCAGGTAAGACAATATAGCAGTGTCAATTGATGCAGTTTACGACTATCAACCACATACCAACCACATACCAACCACATACCCAACCACATATCAACCACCTGTCAAATCTCCAACTTTCCAATACTAGTTACAATTCTTGAACATCCATTGGCACGTCCTATCCTACCTCATTTACCGCCAGCATTGAATAACATTGCTCAATCAGAAAATGCTCGGGTAGTAATAGACGAATATGATTCAGGAAGAGTCTATTTAGCCAAATGGGCAGCAAGAGTGGCTGAAGAAGCAGAGTCTCAAAATGATAAAACATGGGTACCTTTGTATAAGCCTGGAGGAGTGGAGGAGGGCGGCAGCGTACATTTTGAGGAAGACACCGAGTTGGGGCCTTTTGAGATACTGAGCGTAAGTGTGCTATCAGTTCGATGTATATGCTTTGAGTGTTTGGTGGATGGGTCATTTTTTCGTGGACGTGTCTTGCCTTATCATGGTCGAATTGCTATAGAATTTGATTCGATATTTTATTATCGGTTTGATCACGGAATGTTTCTATGTGTGTTTACGAATACTACAGTAATCGAATTCCGCGTAGATTGGTCAGCCTTAATCATTAGCTTGTAGTACTTATTACTGACATATCTAACGGGATATTTGTACAGACTAAAACAAGTTTGCCACCCATACGGGATACGCGCACGGTTCCACTAAACGCTGAAAGTTGGTTCTCGTTCTTCGATACTGAAGGAAGGCTTAAGGTTGAAGCAGTGGATGTCAGACAAGCTATATTTCGAGGCGTGAGTGATTTCTTTCTCTTGTTTAACCTGCAAGTTAGTTAGGAGAACTCAAACCATCTTGAACGCAGGGAATTGAAGAGGACATACGCACAGAAGTATGGAAATTCCTATTGGATGTGTACCCTTGGGAATCAAGTGAGGTGGAAAGGGCAAACATCTTAGAGGCGAAGAGGTATAAATGTTTTCACGAAAGCATACAGCTCTCTCATATTCTGCTAATACCGATTCCCTAACTTCTTCCCAAATAAGACATGAATATTTTGCTCTCAAAAGTGAATGGTGGTCTTCTACAGAAGTACAAGCTGGTGCTATATTCCAGGATCACAAAGTCCGTATAGGTGTGTTAGTAAATTTGCAGAAGGTTATGCAGTTTAATGCATGGTTAATGCAATATTAACAGTTGACTTTACCTTAGAGAAGGATGTTATTAGAACGGATAGAAGCGTGTCATTTTTCAAAAGTGAGGATATGCCTCACCCAGATCCATTAGCTGGCTCGTCATCAAACTTAACAAATAAGAACCTGGAGTTAATGAAGGATATATTGATGACGTACAATTTTTATAACAAAGATTTGGGTAAGATATTTCTAGTGACCATGTTTTTGTTATTATATTCACAGAGTAGTCTGTGCAAGCGCTAAAGCTATCGCTGTTTAGGATATGTACAAGGTATGAGCGACTTGCTTGCTCCATTGTTTGCGGTAATGAACGATGAAGTGACAGCATTTTGGGCATTTGTCGGGTTTATGGATCGTATGGTATGTAGTCCTCATTTTATTAATGCAGGGTTTTTTTTGCCATGTTGTCTGACATTTACTTATTCCTTTTAGAAATACAACTTTTATGAAGATCAAACTGGAATGCGGAGACAGTTATTGACATTAGATCACCTAATACAATTCATGGATCCCGTATTCTATAAGCATCTACGTTAGTGATACATTTACTTTATGTGATTATAACATTTAATCGCGGTTTGTTAACAACACGTATATACATTATATAGAGAAAACTGAATCCCTCAATCTATTCTGCTGCTTCCGCTGGATACTTATCTGGTTCAAACGAGAATTCAATTGGGATGACATCGCTCGGCTATGGGAAGTGCTCTGGTCTGATTATTTAACTGGACAATTTCATCTATTTGTGGCTCTCGCCATCCTTGAAAAACATAGCCGAGTGATAATGGAGTTTCTACCTAACTTTGATGAAATATTGAAATATATAAATGATCTCTCTATGGACGTTAACCTGGAAGATACGTTGAAGCAAGCTGAGATGTTGTTTTATCAGTTTCAGAGAATGGTAGCAGCAATTGACGCCAAACGGATGGAAGAATCGGAGCAGAAAGAACCGCATGAAGGACTTAGAAAGAGGGTCAATAAGCGACCTGAAAATGGTGAAGGAAGTTCAACACAGGATGATGCTACCAACAAATTGCCAGTCATACCGGATGATCTTAGAGACTTACTGAATAAAGAATGGCCAAGGGTAAGTTATTATCTGCTCGATTGAAGATTCTATTGATTTAACTAATATTAAGTGCATATTAATTGTATATTCGCAGATGTAATCAACCCATCGTGTATTATATATAATATCTCTCGTGTGCCGGTCAATTAATCATTCAACTTATTTATTTAGTCATTGTCGAAGTTTATTTAGAATATTATACTTTCTCTGTTCGCGCAAGTTTTATACAAATATCACATTATAATTATGAATGACTGATAATAAATAATCGAAAGCCGTGCTTTCAGGATCAGACACCTGCATTAGAAAGCACTTGCAACTATTTTCTTGAGCTCAAATGGCTCGCGTTCAAATTCACAAGTGGACTAGTTAATTGGTCTCGATCATAAAATATTTTTGTGCTGATTTGCAGTTTGTAGATTAAATAGTGGTTGCTTCGACTTGAAGCATTATTGAGATCAACCCAGAAAATCACCTTCGCTGGCCAAATATCGCCAAACCACTTGTACCAGCATAGAAAGAGTCTGTAACTTAAAGGAATAAAAAAAAAGTGCTGAAACTATGGCAAATTTCTAGAATTTTGGTTTAAAACGTAAAAGAGGATTTTTTTCAATTTGAGATTATGACGTCACATATAAATTCCCATCGGTGCGATCAACCATCGATCGCACGATGGAACCACCAACTTTACCGCCAGAGGAAGTCATTCCACTCATCGTAAGGTCAGGAGTTTTAGGATAACGTTTTTTGTTGAGACCTCCCACTTATTCCCAAGCGGATAAGTTCTGGACTCAGCCGCGGTGGGAACGGGATTCTATTTATCGTTATTTTGATGTAACTGTTCAGGGTCGCGTATGTCATTGCGTTATAATTGAATAAAGATCATACATTTCCCATTTATCGTCTCTTCTTGATTGTCTACTGATCGAGTCGAAATATTCGTTGGCTATTAGTGTCTTGAACAAGTCTTCTGGGGTCGGTTGATAGAAGAGAACAAATTTATGTCTGTTTTGGAGGATAGTCAGGGACAGACAATAATAAAATAAGAATGACAACACAACATTAGAGTATCATACACACTCGCCTTACTCGGTATTCTGTCTGACTATATTCCTTTTGCAATGGCCGTTGACTCGCTATTGTCTGTTTCATTTTCGTTATCGTTATCGACTTTAATCATTATCATATATGTCCTTTCCAGATTTCTTTCATATTCGTATTCCGTCCCCCATCTTTCAAAAAAGATTTTTTTGCATTCGTTAATATTAAATGATTATTTGTTCAAATATGACTTTTTCTTTTTTACATTCGTGATAAAAGCCAATTGTGTGATTATGGCTTTACTCACTTGGCACAGATAGTCGCCGAACAGACAAGCAACCCGGTTGATCTGACTCCTAGTTCGAGATTGGCTGAGTTGCTTTACATAGCTAAAGAACAAGGTTAGGGAAAAGGTTGGAAGGGGAAGGGGGGCGGGCAATAGAATGATAACGGGGAATATTTACTGAAATGTCTTAATTGGAGGTGTGAGGTATTAATTAATGTAAATTGTGTTTGGTTATAATATATAGATGAAGGGGATGAGGTGCGTCCATGTGAAGTCATTGATGACGATGTTCTGGACGATGACGAAGCAGATGTGCAGAAAACTGCTGAGGGAGAAGACGGTACCATAACGCATCATTCAAAATACATCAGTAATATTGATCCGGACAATACTCTAGGTAATAATCCTTGTAATTATTTAGTTTGTTTTTCGTAGTCGGCCATTTATTCAAGTCTGACTTTTATCACTCTTTTCAGAACCCAAAGAAGCACCAAATTATTCAACGTGGTATATGACCACTCATCGTGCTGCTTCTACGTGTGCCATTTTCAGCGGAGACGGTAAATGCGTGTGTTTCTTTCCCATCTCTTACATATAATCAATACGAGTTGCAAGATGTTCCATAGAGCTGACGATTCTTCACTTTTCAAACAGGAAAATATGCAGCAACAGGTTCAGCCGACGCATCATTAAAAGTCCTCGATACAAGTAAGATGAATAGTCGGTCAGACGAAGATCGTCCCGTCATTAGAACTTTATATGATCATCTTGCTGTAAGAACGGGCTTGTCATAACAGATTCATCCGTGATTTCTACACTGGTTATACAGTAAATAATTAATTGTATTTATACAAGATAGCCAGTGAACGATCTTTCTTTCCATCCGAATGGATTGGTACTCGCATCATGTTCCGATGACCAAAGCATAAAATTATTTGATCTATCAAAACCGGGTGTTAAACGATCGTTCCGGTATCTTCAGGTGATCTGCATCATGATTAATACGTTCCTGATATATTTTTGTTATTATCAATTAACCTGTTTCACATGGATTATATAGGATACTCATATAGTACGATCAATAGCATTTCATCCGTCAGGAGATTTTATATTAGCTGGTATGGCAATGGTTGGATGGGCATCTTTAAGAAAAGGTTGATTGATATGATTAGAAGCTCACTCGATTATATCTTTTACACAGGCACCGATGATGAATCAATCAGAGTATACGATGTAAAGTCTTTCAACTGCTATACAGCTTCTACTAATCAGAATGACTTGCACCATGGTGGAATAACGCGAGTAAGTCATATATTTATTTACAGTGTCGTCTATATTTATACAAGGTTTTTGTCTTTATTTCCGAGTTGACATCACACTCATAATAACATTCTCAATTTTTGTCCCTCCTCCACACAGGTTCGCTTCTCTTACAATGGCTCGCAATTCATAACCAGTTCCTTAGATGGCAGTATTAAAATCTGGGATGTGGTCACTGGCCGATGTATTCGGACAATAGAACAGGCTCATGGAGGATCGGCTGTATCGAGTGTAAGGTTTTCAAAGAATGGAAAATATGTTCTGAGTGGGGGTCGAGATTCGTTATGTAAACTGTGGGAGGCTACTAGCGGACGTTGTTTGATTACATATGATGGGGCCGCGCAAAAGGTGAGCTCACATGGTTGATTGGCGTAAGAGAAGAGATACATCTATAGCTTTATAGTGAACGAAATTGTTTGCACTAATTAGTCTTGTCGATTTATATAGAATAACACCTTACAAACAACATTCACATATAACGAGGACTTTGTCTTATCTTGTGATGAATCCAACAACACAATCGTATGTTGGGATTCGCGAACCGGCGCTTTGCTGAAGAGATTACCAGGTAAACATAAACACCTATCAGATGCTTGCCGTTTCTCATTGTTAACTCTGATTGTGATTCATTCTGCATTAGGTCACGCTGGACTTGTCCGATGCGTAGCGGCCTCTCCCACAGAGCCCGGATTTATCAGTTGCAGGTGAGTCACCTTGTTGTTCTACTTATAAAGGATAATTGTTATTGATCTAATATCACCATCACCATCTTATTGTAGTGATGATTTCAGAGTCAGGTAATTGAATTAGTATGTGACTTGTCGGACTATCACGCACTGTATTCTGCATGCTAATCTCCGGGTTATAATTATGTAGATATTGGAATTTAGGTTAATAGAAAATTTAATATAGACACTTGTGTACTTCTTGCTTTGGAATAAAAACGCTTTTGTTGATCATTTTTTTTACTTGCCAAGATTCTTGTATGGTTACGATTTATGCATCTCAATGAGAAACAATAGTGATTCGTTTTGCGCAATCCTATTATGTGAATTATATTATTTGATATGACACATCATGTCAGCCCACTCTCCCCCCTTTTCCAATATTAATTCTATAGCAACCAAACGATGATGTATTTGTTTTATTTTATAGACATCAATCTAAATTTATCGATCAATTTGAAATTCGATTAATACAGTAAGTACTTTATAATAAAGTGTGCGATACATGATCAAAGGTGAAGATGTAAGCAAAAAAAAAGTTCTTTTTTTTGTTCTTTCTTTTCTTTTTTTTCTTTAGTATGAAATACAAAAATATAGGATGTGAATAATAAAAATGCTCTCACCAATCACTTTTGTACAATTACAAATACTATTCAAAGTCCTTCTCAATATGAAATGAAAGGGATTATATTGGTGATCAATAAAAAAAAAAAAAGAATAGAAAACGAAAGTAAAAATAACTACTACTCTATCGTTGTAGTTGTATTGTAATTCTCTCTTTCTAATATAAATGTTAAAGTCAAAATATCTCCTTGCGATGCTTGTCTAAAAAAATTAAATCAAAAGAAACTCACATCGCAAGGGTTACAAGTCTTTTTTTTTTTATTTTATTATTTTCATCAAAATTCTTTACGCTCGTAAGAGATAGCCAACGAAGACCTCTTTTTGCCACGGGAAAGGGATTCCTCCCCCCCAATAGGGTGAGAAGGCCCACATCCGCTTAATCCGGTTTTAATGTTTTTCTCTTTTTTTTTGTGTTTTTATATTCCATAGTTACGAGGGTATATAGTCGAGATCCTATCGTTCAACCTCTCTCCTCATGACTATGAAACAACAATAAAAAAGAATATGTATACCATCATGCGACCCAAGTTCGTCAACGAGTTATCGTGATTAGGAATGATTTTTCGCTTTCAAAGTAATTTGTTTCATTGCCTATTTATTTACTGTTACAATATAAAATAATAAGACTTACATTGAGCATATACATTAAACTCATTTTTTTTCCTAAAATCTCAAACTAATATGTATTCATATATTTCTTGTTCTTATGGCTAGACCATAAATTAATAAAAAAAGTCCAATCCAATTTGTCTATTTACCTGCTACAACCGCTTTGATGCCTCTTCCATGCGTCTTTTCTACTAAAAGGCTTCTTGCAAGCTGTACACAAATGCACCTTCTCCCCCTTATGTATGCCGTTAACGTGCCGTTTTAAGTCATGCTTCCTTGTGAATCTAGATGCACAGCCCGGATGTTCGCAAGCAAACGGTTTGACTCGATTTGTATCGTGCGTGGCTTCGTGCGTCTGCATATTAAACTTCCTGCTGAATCGTTTATCGCACTTGGGACAGGCGAACTGCTTCTTTTCTCCTGTAGCAGAGTCATCGTCGTCCTCGTCCATGTCACTCTTATGACGTTTCAATTGATTCTGAGAGTCTTCATCATCCGGAGGACGAGGTCTGATAGGTCTTGGAGTTGTGGAGCGGGCGTTTGCTTGTGCCTGACCGATATTATCGCCAACTTGATTAGATATTGTTGATTCCGAACCAGAGTCGATAGTGCTTTGCACTTCGGAGCATTTTGTTGAATCGAGGTCTGGTAATATGTTCGACATTACCACGAAATTTGTTTGATCTTCGGTGGTGGCGTAGGTTATACTTTCGAGTTTGGCAAACTGTAATTCAGCAAACTTGTCTATATCCGGCTTGAAATCTTCAGATATAGAAGACCAATCGATGCTTTCTCCGGGATAGTTACTTGGTACACTTGGTGGTAAAGGATTGTCAATGCGTACAGAAATTGGAGTAGTAACGTTTGAGAATACCGGACTTGGCTCCCAGTGCGGAGTGTTGTCAAAGTAAGGGGTTTGTGGTATAGCAGGAGTGTTCAAGACTGAAAATAACGGTGTGTTGTATACGGAAGCTATGGGAGGGCAGGCGGGCGTGCAGGGTATGAATTCCGTTACGGGTGTATTTAATGTAGTCAATGCAGGAGAGGAGTAGATTCCCAAATATTCACCACCAACAGTGTTGTTGTTGTTGCTGTTGTTGTTGCAGCTATTATCGATATGTTGAGTTCTTATTGGTGTGAAGGATGGATTGGTAATGATAGTGAGTGGGCTGGGTCGAATACTAGCAGGTGACGTAACCCCGGTTTGTTCGTAAACTAGGTTTTCTGTTGGTTGAGTCGCAATCGTTTCGTCGTCGCCACCGAAAATGCCAAAGTCCTGGAATTGTGAAAACTCTGATCCCAAGGGAAGACCGCTTATGCGAGGCGTTGCAGTTGGTGTTGTGGTAGGGAGAAATGGCGTATATGGAGTATATGGACTTAGATATGCTTGGTCATGCTCCAGAAGAGGAGAAAAGGGAGATTCGGTGTGTTGCTGAGGTTCGTTAGTTATGCCGTAGGTGTCGTTAGAGTGGTTACTCATCGAAAGCGTGTCGTCGAAGCAGATGTTCTGATATTGATCAGACATAAAAGTGACGGGTGAAGTGGTTGGAGAGAAAGAAAAGTAAGACGTGGTGATAGGTAACCGAGAGAAAATGGAGCGAGTGGTTTTTTGTTTTTTCGTGAGAGAAGAAGAATAAATAATAGGGTTTTTTTGGCTGTTGAATGTGTCTTTATTGTGATGTTTCTGAAAATGGAATAAACCAAAGGCGTTTGTGTACTGGGTTTAGACGATACTAACAAGGTACTAATATTTTACTATAGTTATTACTGATAAGCGAACTCTGTATGAGTTCGCTTCCGAGAAGGGAGGAATTTCTTTGCGAGAGCGTAAAAAGATTCAATCGTTTAGCTCGAAAGCTTTTCTCCAAGACTCTTCTCCACACCCTGTATTTATCCTCGATTCCTTGTGCAATGTTCTAAATAATACGTCTGTATACTTTTTACATTATCTTCCAAATATACACACAAATCAATACCGCATATTTTGTTTATGTATATTTACTATTGCATAAGCGTACAGTTATTATTATATTATCAAATCAGTCAAACATGTAATATTAATTACTGTTTATCAGTTAGTAAATATTCGCAGTCACCTACAAATATCACACCATGGCGCAGCAATAATGGCGAGGGAGCTTTATCTGTCATCTAAACAATGACACAATATATACGGCCGTATGATACTGGCCAACGGGTAGTCGCATTCAAAAAATATATGAATGATTTTGTAGCAAGACGTTTTGATATATCATAAATATCGTGAAAATAAAAATATACTCGATATACTCGAGATTATAATATTATAATACAAGACACTGTATATTGTTTCGTGTGATGTGATTCTGTGTCTCGTCTTTGCTACGCCTCGGTCAACTGAGACATGACTGTGCGACTTCTCCCAGGGGAGGTGCATATATTGACAGCTGCGGATATTTCCAATAGGTCAGCAACGATGGATAATTAAAAATGTACAGACTATGAAATGGGAATGTCATTGAGTCGATGGGGTGGATTTTTGGCGGGAGATTGACGGAGCGTTATAGACAAGGAAACGTTGTGTGCTTGCTCGATGGGTGTTTATGGATGGAGGTGTGTTGTACTGAGCAAGACTAGTAGAGTATATGTACAAGTAGTGGCTCATACAGTAAAATATCCCTTTTGATTCATTGTCAACCATGTCTCCCGTCCTTACTGCGTCGGTTTATTTGACTGTTGCGCCACAAATTGACGCTGGTGTTTGACCTTCATGCATGTTTGCGGCTAATGTTACGATAAGAAAGTCCTAATATTTAACCATAGTTGGATATCAAAGTCGTGACAAAGGAGGGGGGATTGAATGGTGAAAAGGACAAATGCCGTTCTGACTCTTTTTTTTTTTTTTCCTTTCAAAATTCTTGTCACCATCCATGCCACAGGTTTGTGATAAAAAGGTGGGGTATGTGATATGTGATAACCGTATATGTAGCTTAATTCACAATGAGCTTCGATTTATACTAAACCAGTATTCTGAGATGCAATAAATGAATACAGCATATATTATTAAATACAACGTATATATAAAGTATTCTAAACTGTTATCATTTGTATTATTTATACTGGTATTATATGGAGTCCAGATTCCGGCAACAATTGTTACTTCAATCCTATTATTTATGTGATGTGAAAATTCAATGGTGACAATACTGAAATATATACACTGTTATTGATGCGAGGTTTGATAAGATAACCCCAACAATGGTAAGTAATCTACGGAAACAAGGCCACGTTTTTAGTACTCACGACACGTATCTGGTATGAAAAAGAAAGAACTTTATTCAATGACATTCTTTTTTTGTTGCAGAATAAATACCCCATAATTTTAACTTACAAAGGCCAATTTATATTGTATTATATTAAAGTAAAGTAAAGTAAAGTAACCACAAAATGTTGTCAGCGTTTAGTGCCCAGTTTCAACCAAGCAACAACAACAACGTTGTGTGTATACAGAATAGTTCCATGGACTGTAATTAATTTTATGCATATAATTTGTTGTTTACTATTAATACATGGCCGGGTAACGTCCATATGTACGATTAACGTGTGATTGTATTCAAGAAAACTCACTGCTAAGGTACCGCCAAGTGTCACTGTGAGTTTGTTGGGGAGGGGGAATGTGTCATAGTGTGTCGGTTTTCGCTAAGGAACGACTTGGTAATTTACTGAGATTTCGAGTCCTTTATTTGGTCATTTACTGATGCTGCCATGCAAAACTCTAGGCAAGCTTTTTTACAAGTATTAATTAGAAAAGTCATATAAATTTGGGTGTCATTGTAAATACTGTATGTGCTTGCATTGTTTTGTTTATCATGCTTGTTTTCATTACTATCAAATATACTGGCTTTAATAATGAGCCTTCTTTTCTCATCCCACATGATCATTTGCAAATATAGAGTTCATCTGAACTTGTGCCATCTCACGCTAACATCGACAATCCCTCGGCACTTTCCCCTCAGCTCTGCAGATATGATGTAACGATCACTATAATCGGGGGTAAACAATAATGAATAAGGAAAGCTATGAATGGATAAAGCAACAATAGCGGATCTGATTGAGGCTTGTCTAACATACGTACGCAAGCTACTTTTCGTCATCCTCTTTTTTCAAACTCTATTCAAACTCCGCTAAACTATTTCAATCTCCGCAGCAGAATGAATGATGCACATCTTGCATGATTTGTCGATCTTTGGACGATAAGATAAGTTTGTTAATGTGCGCAGTAGATATGAGACATTGTGCGTGGGAGACACACATCGTATCTTGGGGAAGAGGGAGCTAGGACATAGAGCGATTAGCGCTTGTTGGAAACGTTGAATGAACATCTAACGCCAATAAATGACCAGGTTGCAACCGTTGCATTCGTTGCATTCGTTGTATTCGTTGCAATTGTTGCATTCATTCCCAACCACAACAAATATTACATCAGGTAAAATGATGCTGTTCATGAGATAATTTCCACATGGTCGGTAGTATCTGACACGAATTAGTAAACTTATTTAACATTACTGTAAAAAATGTTATGTAATACTTTTTATTTATTCACTCGTCAATCAAATTATCACTGTGTGCATTCAATTGCTGTTTATGGACGAAAACTGCGTGTGGAAATTGATTGGAAGTAAGGCATTACAGGTGTGCGTTTGTTGGGAGTATCAAACATGTGAAGAGGGGCTGAGAAGGGCGGTCGGGATATCTGCGGATAAATTGAGCTATCATCTAATTATTCATGTTGGTTCGACATGTAAACACTTGTTTTCCCGATATTTCAAATTACTATATCTATTTCCATTTGTCGATATTTTGGTAAAACCTGTCCATGTACGACAGAATAACTTTATTGTCCAACTCCGAAAACCCCATCTCACCGAAACTTGATAACACAACCTTGTATAATTAATATATTTTTAAGTATTGGGGAAGGGGGTTTTAATTACTTTCTCTCTATCTCTCTTTTTTTTTTGCCGATTGTCCGATTAATAACGGATGTCCCCCGTGCTCTGAATTGGTAATTGTAATTACAGTATGCTTGGATAACAGGTTGGAAAAAGGAAAAAACGATCAAGTAGCCGATAACAGGTAATTGCTGTAATGTATCAAACCAATTATGCACATCCCATTTTCCTACCCACTTATCATGATCGAATCATTAACCATATTCTGCATTTAATATGTTTACAGCATTGCTCACCATGACCAACAACTTACGGATAAATACAACAATACGCAACGATGTGCAAGATATATTCAGAAATATTCCACCAAGTTGGGAGACCTAGTAACATTGATGGGATGGTGATGATGGTGGACTACATGATAATGTGCTACGAGTAGCAGATGAGTAAATTTGTTACTTTAAACGCAAAGTGTCGACATTTAAACTTTAAATTTCCCCTCCCCTTACAATAACACGCACGGCCGAGACACACATATACATACGGTTACACCCATACCATAATGACAAGCCACACTTCATTGTCATATATTACAATTACTAATTGTCCACCAATAGCCATGCTCACCTGACTCCTGACTCATTTAATTACCCTGCCGCCACAGTGCATAAATGTCACGATGGGGCTTCCGACGATGACTCATTTTCTTTGTATCAGGTTTCATCAGCCACAACATTCGAATGCTGGTGAAGGACTTGTAAGTAATTGGTGTTGGTTCCAAGAGATGTAACCGATGCGTGAAAATCGGCTGTTTGATGTGGAAGAGACGACTTTAATTAAATGCCACACATGTGAGGTCCTATACTTTTCGTCAATCTTGGCTACTTACGGGCTCCATAGTTTCAAGTAAAACTATTCTCCTGTTTCCAGCCACACAAAGGGAATATTCGGATATGTGCCACGGCTTAATAAGTGAATCATAGATGCTTTTCTCTATAACCTTCCTTGTTTGGAATGGTTGTTGTATGACGACCATTGATAAGTATCACATACATAAAAAATTTACAGTACAAGTATATATTACAAAACGGTTATACAAAACTTTACAAACTTTCCAACTTATCACCGATATGCTACACGCATATCACATGTGATATGGACAAAGCTTTTTCCCCCAAATCATTTTCCCTGTCAACATCATTACACAACATCCATCTGGGGCCTTGGAAGGTTCGTTCAAGTGAACTACTTATTAAGATAGTATTCACACACACCTGTCAATTGAAAATAAAAAGAAAGAGGGCTTTGTGTAATTAACTTTTATGGATATACATGCGTCGCAACAATAGAAGAAGAGAATACCAAGAAAAATGAACAAGGAACGAGCAGAATATAGTAAGTAGGCAGGAATAGTCGGAATCATGCATATTTTTCATGCCTATGATCATTTCCTGATACCATTCATCCACTATAATCAAATATTTGATCAATCTTATCTTATGGCCGAGGATATTACTAATGCTATGTTGGGGGCCGTTACTCAAATTCGCGTACCCCATCTCTCTATTGTCTGATTTGTATAATTATTGTGTTA